CATATAAGAAGAGAACCACAAAATTTATATTGAGTCGAGCGTAAAAATAACAATGTTTGGACCGCCGTCGTCAACGTCAACGCCATCGCCATCGCCATCATCAACATGGTTGGCGTCGCCACAGTGAGCGGCAGACGGCATAAAAATAAGTGAAATTGTTTTGTACGTCGCCTTGCCATTGTTGCTGCTATTTAAACGATGGGGCTGCCGTTGTGTTGTTGTTCCCGTTGTGGTTGCAACTTGCAATATGGAGCATAAATTACAACAATGCATGCAATGCGCAACCGACAGATAAACAAAACAAGCAGCCAGATGGACAGATAGATATACACACATACATACAAGTACTTGTATATAGCCGTCGCTAGCCATTTAATTATGCTCATCAATTTCCACAGTGGTGCGGAAAATGCATGCAACCATCGCCTGTTTGCCTCTGTGAGTGCTCATAAATTTTCCAAAGCAGACGAGGCTGGCCATAGCCAGACTGCACTTTACTTTAATGCCTACTTACACTTTACTTTAAATTTCCCTTTCTGTCTTTCGTTTTGTTTTAGATGTGTTGTCTATAAATTCAAATTAAATGCACTTTTAAGGCGCGCAATTAATTTTGTTGTGTGCGAGGCGGGGGCATTAGAAATCAAAGATTTTATGCTACAGAAATATCTTTACATGTGTATCTTACATGTGTAGAACGAGCATCGAACATGGGGCAGGGTTTGGGACCCCCGCACAATTAATCATTGCCCTTGAAAACTCTAGGCGGCTGTTCTGAAATTTTTCAAAGTGCATTAAAATACCAGAAGATTTAAATGCCCGCTCATTGCTGCTAATCGCCAACGTGCCGCGCACAGCTTGTTAAAATTAGAAAACTACTCAAAGAAATTATGAGACGATCGTGCGCTTTGAAGGCGGCAGCCACTTAAGGCAGCACCACCAACAAACAGCCCCATCATTAAAACTGCACTGAATGCATCGACGATTGCAACTTGCAACGTGCACCGCGCATCGTGCAACGTTGGCGGCGTCAGAGCGTGGCATGGCATGCCAGCACACGTCATCATGACACTCAACGAAGCCGCCAACAGTTTTCAACTGTCAGCGGAACAGAGGCCGCCTTTGTTCCCATCTACAGGACACACTCCCACTAAGCAAACACAGTTTGAAAAGGGTTTTCTTTATAAATGCCTGGGTTTCGATATCGTTATGGTAAGGTATCAGTATAATTGAAATATCTAGTCGAACAATTCGTCTGTGAATTCAATGTTCTAAAATTTTTCCAGTTTTTCGCAAGTACTGTTATGAAATATTTGCTTCTTAAATGAAGAGACTAACTTATTTTAAATTTGCTGATGAGTTAACTATTTCCCTAAATAAATAGAATTACAAAACTAGAAAAAGATAAATAATAATGAAATGATATTTTCACAAGCACTGTGTTGCTTTTTGGCAAACATACCCTTTTCCGAAAAGTAGTAATCATTTGTGCCTATCTATCTAGCATAAGAATCCGTAATAACTGCGAAATCACTCTCATTTGGTAGTTTCTAGATTCTGATTTCTCAACGGTTGTGTTGTCTTAAAATGCTGCACAATTTTCAATGTTTTTTCTAAACCTCAAAACGGACATGATAGCATTATTACGCTAGACTTAGAACTAAACTTCAAGGTAAAATAGCAGCAAATTCAACTGCAAGATACAATTAGAGCAACAGTAGATTAGGACCAGTAGTAGATTTCTGTGCATAGTCTAGTATATTATTACAACGATTTCTTTAATAAGCAGATCTGTTAAAAGAAGAGAGAATTGCGTTCGAGACACTAATTAGGGATTAAGATTATTCATTGATTTGGTTAACATAGAACGACAAGAGAAATAATTACGAAATCGAAATGAAACTACTTAAAAGGTGGGGTAGAAAAATCGATCAAAAATAGAACAAACAATATGAATTGTGCTGATCAAGTAAATAACTTTGGCAGGAAATAGCTGTTGGGAAACCCTTTTAAGCAATTATCCCTGTCTGTCTGTTACAATTTGTTGGCAAATTGGTGTTTTCTCTTTTTCTCTCTGTGCGGCCAGGCCAGAAACAAGGCGAAAAAAGTGTTTATCTTTGCTTAATTGTTTTAGATTTTAATCTTTTGCCGTTGACGGGCGAGCAATATGCGAGCATGTGCTGCCACTTGGCATCGGAGGCAACAACATATGGTCAAGTGAGTCGATGGAGACACTGCAACGTGGTCCCATCTACGAGTTTGTCTAACAGTTGTGTGACAATTTTATTAGTTTTGTCTGCAGTTTGCTTATCAAGCGGTGCCTCATGTGGCCGGGCTGCTTGCCTCAGTGCCTGCCTGCCTCATTTTGTATCTTTGACCTGCCATGCGTTGCTTTTATCTTTTGCCTGTCAAGTGTGTTTGTGTGTGTGTGGCAACAGCTAATTGAAAACGTTTGTCATCGATCGCATGGAAACTCTAAACAGACAATGTGAATTGCCAATAAATGTTTGCTTTGGTTTCGTCTCGTTTCGTTTCGGTTTTGATAAAGGCTGGCGCGACATGTTGAAATCAAGTGAAGACACATTTAGGTGCCGAACGATATATGCGCACGATGTGTGATTATATTTTGTGGGGTGTTAAAATATTGTACAAGTACTACACACATACACGCATATACATACATATGTATGGATATTAATAGTTGCCGCGCGGCTCATATGAGGAATGGCGGAAATCGCTCAGATTTGTTGTCGACTTGCAGTTATTTTGTCATGGCTCGACTGCTTTTCCAGATAATGAATTTCCCGCTGCGCTTCGGGTTGCAGACACACCTACAACATGCAATGACAATCCTTTTGGGAACGCAGCAGATGAGCAGAATAAAAAGAAAAACACCTACAACATACCCACATGCCATGGAAAATGTTCATAGATCAAAACAAAAAGGGGCAAGTAGACAGACAATAGAATCACAGCAAGCGAAATGCGATAAAGCAGATGAGAGGGTGTCAGTTCTTATGAAAAATGACGAGCAGTAGTCAGCAAATGACAACAGCAGCAACAACAACAATAGCAGCAATATAGTAGTGCTCAAAAAAATGCATATATAGTACTTGTAGTCAGCGATTTGAAATTGGAAACTTATTCTTCTGCTTCTTGAATGCATTTCGTCAGGCGTTGCTGGTCTTATCAAAATATTTTCATAAGCAAAACATCGCTTCGGGTGGAGTCAAGTTGACAAAAGGGATTAGGGAAAAGTCTGAGCGTGGTTGGGTCGTTAAGCCGCTTTCAAAATTCAGGTAGCGCTGCTTAATTAAGACATTGGGACTAATCAGCATTGGCAGTCATCGTCCGAGACTCAGTTGTCTTGATCGCTGATATCGTGTGTTTGCTTAGGCGCGTCTATAGCTAATAGCTGGGCGACGTCGCCGCCATATGGCGATAAAGCCTAGTTAGCGCGTTATCAGGCATCGCATGTAAATATGCCCATTAGTCCCAATCAATCATTATCTCTAAGTGTGGCACCAAACATATCGTACATATGTTTCCAAAAGAGCACTGTGTTTGTTTGCTGACATACACGTATGTACATACGTATATATATACATATGTATATATATACATATGTATATATATACATATGTATTTATATACATATAAAAATCTGAGCACATTTACGATATTTGATTTGTAAAATCTGTGTCGCTCTGTTAGTCTAGCGCTTAGCATTTTGATTTAATTTTTATGTAAATCATATTTATTTGATTATGTGATTTAGTGTTCAGCTGATTTACGCCGACAGTCGACTTTATTATGCGTGCCGTTGTCGTCGTTGTTGTTGTTTTTGTTATTGTTGTCATTGTCATTGCGGTTGTTGTTGCTGTTGTTGTTGTGGTAGTCGACGCCTGGGTGTATCTATAACACTAAATCATTTTAATTGTTGCCGTTCGTGTTTGGAATTTTGTTTGGCGGCAAAAGCACGGTGGGCTGTTCTAGTGGGCTGTGCGTGTCCCCGTCGCTGTTGGCTCTCGTACTTGCTGTTGTTGTTGTTGTAGTTGTAGTTTTCAACGTGGGATTTATGTTGGATTTTCGTGTCTCTCCGAAAACGCTTGTGGTTGCTTTGTTTTGGATGCACTTGCATTTGTAGTGCAAAGTCGGGGATGGAGACTTTTTGAACAAAACGTGCATCTGAGCATTAAACATACTGACAATTAGGATAACTACAAGGTATTGTACTAAGGTGGAAAAGGGATGAATACAAATTGGATAAATGTTCCCCCTCTAGCATCGATAGAAAATGTAGTCTTAAGACGAAGATTATACGAAGATCAAGAAAACGAAAAACACGGCATGTAATATTTATATTTACTTTGAAAGGATTCCTCCTAAATTATAAATGTACATTTTATCTGAATGTTCTAAATTAGTCTGATCGATGTTAGCTATAGAGGGGACATCATACATTAGATCTACATAAAATATTACATTTATTTTGAATTATAAAATGGATTTATAAAAAAATGTATTCAAAATGTACATATATGTATGTATTTTTGTATAAATGTAACATTTCATCTTTTTATCGTAGAATGTAGAAATGTACATAAAAATATATAAATAGATTTAAATATATTTGTACATATGTATATCGAACTTGATTCTCTAGGAGACAAATCATTAGAAAAATAATAGTTGACTTATATACATTTAATCCTTCACTTGAAATCCCATAAAAAGTTTAACACTAAAGAATCCATCCTAAAGAAGAATCAGTCTAAAGTGTATATAGTCGCGTTTGCTCTTCAAAGCTAAGCTCAGTAAGGATATCTAATATGGGGTTGCAAGTGTTTGCCTTCAGATCACTTTACAGTTACTTTGTAGCAAGCAGTATGCATTCCCATGGTATTCCACAGGTTGTACATTATTTACGTATGCTCGTAAAGTTCATGGAACTCTTCGTCAGTAGTCAATATTCGTCCATTGCCATATTCAAGAGAACTTACCAATTTTGCCTTGCTATTGGTTTTATTCTGTGTATCCTTTTTGCGTTTATTGGCACTGTCCGTAGCACCGAAGCGATTGTATTGAAACAGACGACCCATTTTAAAGTTCTTCCTCTAGTAGCCCCCTCACAATAAACACAATAAAGCACACGGCGTGTAGTTTCCACGCACAAAGTTTTCAGCGCGATTCAATTCACAATAGTAGTGCAAAACAGAACTTATTGCGTTGTTTTGTTTGTTCGAAAATATTTGAAGTGTTCAATAAACTGCTAGTCGTCGACGAGTGAAATAACGGAACTTGGCGAACGAACCGGAGAGCGTTGCGAGCGATCAGCGCGACGTACGCAAAGGGAATGATGGGCCACAACTGAATGCATTCGAAAAAATACAACGGAAAATGAGCTCAACGATGGGAATGAGAGACGGCGACGACGACGGCAACGACGGCAGCGGCAGCGACGGGCAGAGGCAGAGATACAAATTTCATGGAGTGTGGTAGTGATAGGTGAAGAGAGAGAGGTGTACAAAGTGAGAGAGGGTGAGAGCGGGCGGTGAAGAGGCAAAGGCAGGCAGCCGGCATTTGTTCATGCAACGCTGCCGCAGCATTTACCGCTAGTTCATTTTCAGTTTGCATGTGTGTGTGTATGTGTGTGAATGTTTTGAGCACAACACACAGGCAAATGAAGAAAAACCGGCGCACACACAAACACACAAACACTCAAACACACACACACACAAATACAAACAACAACAACAAACAGAGTGAGCTACAACGCTACGTTGAAAAATAGAAGAAAACCACTCAACAAAAAGCGAAATGAGAAAAATTACTACACTGAGAGAAATAAAAGTAACAGAAATAAACTATAAATTTGTATGGCGGGCCGGCGGGCCGGCGGGCGAGCACTGAGTGAGAGAAGTTCTGATGAGACGAGACGATTGAGGGTTGTAGTACTTGAAACGGAACGGCCATACCGTCGTCAACAAGTCGAGTGGGTGAACGATGAGGGTGAATTTTGGAATTCTCTGAGGCGCTGGCGCTCATCAACTGCAAGTTGAGCAAGTCCGTTGTCGTTGCTGTTGTTGTTGTTGTTTTTGCTTTTGCTGTTGCTGTAGCTGTTTCCCGCTGGCTCATTCATTTTGGACAAGCGATGTCGTCGTCGTCGTCGTCGCCGTCTACGTTCATTTTTGACCAAGCGCCGTTTTTCTGACTTTTCATTTCATGTACTATTGACGTCTGTCTGTTTCCATATGTAAGTATGTAAGTATGTATGTAAGAATCTGCTTTATACGGCACACTCGTAGCTTCATGTACACACCATATGATGTATGTATGTATGTATGTATATGTATTTGTGTGTCTGTCTGTCATTGACGTGCGCTCCACATTTCATTTCTTCATTTGCCTGCCGTAGCTTTTGCACACTGCCTTTTGCGTATTTGTTTAATGTACGTATGTACGTTGTATGTGTGTATGTATGTTGTTGTTGTTGTTTTTGTCCTGCCTACTGCACCAACAGAAACAACAACTGTGCTACTTGTTGTTGTTGTTGCTGTTCCAGCAGCAACTATTGCGAAGCTCCCCACCACACCCCACCACACCACACCAAGCCACCCACCCACAATGACGCGCTGCACTGACATCGAAACTTTTTCGCATGAGCATAAAATAAACAACAAAACAAAAAAAGAGGAAACTTTGCAGTCTTACTCAGCGTTGCTGGCACGGTTTGCCGTGGAGGAGGAACGCGGGTGGGAGTTGGATTCTTTCTGCCAACTTCAGTAGCCGCTGCAGCACCGCCCAGTTCATGTTAATACAGTTACTTTGCAAGTCCTCACCCGGCCGACTCGACTCCATGTGTCCATAATTATCATTATCCTGGTTGCCTTTTTCCAACTCTCCCTCTCCCTCTCTCTGAGGCTTGCTCCTATTTGGCGCTTTTCATTCTGCTGTTTATGCCACGCCAACTACCCAGCCATGGCACTTTAATTGAAGTCAATTTTTTTTACCGAGTGGCTTTTCGTCTTTTATTTTGCGTCGTTGTTGCTGTTGTTGCTGCAACTTTTACTTGATTCGCCATTTTCGTTGAAAATTATTTTGCAACTTATTAGCACCTCCGGAAATTATGACTTTCGCATGCCACTTTTTGTGGTTTGTTTATGAAAAGTCGTTGCTGCTGCTGCTGCTTTTATTAATTGAGTTGCTGGGCTTGCTTTTGTTGCTGTTAATTAGCCAGTGGTAAGCAGAGGGGAAAGGCGGGGCATTGGCTGGCTGGCTGGCTTGAATGACTGGACGTTGCAGCTTAAGCGACTAATTGAAGCGATTTTAAGCGTGGCTATGAAAAAACAGCAAAAGTTTGGCTTCCGGGCAGTCAATAGGAAAACAAAATAGCATTTACTATAATCTAGCACGATATTGTATCTGAAAGATGAAGCCGTTAATTTAAAATGAAAGCATGAAATAAGCTGCAAGCTGATTTTGGAAATACAAATCATAGTTAGCAATGGGCATTGGCGTTTATTCATGATTTTCGTGAGACGCTGACTACGATTCCCATGAGCTGTCTTTGGAATATAATAATTTTTTTTTCAGTATTTAAAGAAAATTATAAAAACTCTAAATCGCAAATAGATTGAATTAATTTATTGCAAACAGAATCTATAAGAATAGAAAGACAATATAAATTATTAGATTGCAGGCACGAGTAGTTCCTAGGCCTTGATTTGAAATCCTGAAAGCCCGTTGGTTGACAATTATGTATTTGAAATAGAAATAATTAAATCCGTTTCATCCATTATTATTAAGTTAGGTAACAAATAAGAGTAGCTCTGCTTTAATAAACAAAATCGAGGAGATAACATATTATTTTATAATTTTATAATCGCAACGATGTGTTCATCTTTTGAAAAGTGTAACTAAAAATAATGCTTGAACCACAAAATGTGAGTATATTATCTGTAAAATTATATCACATTATCGTTAGTATAGAGCATTTCTTAAAGATGTTAGTTTGAATAATACTCGAGACGGGCCACCTTTGCGTACAGCTAGTGAATTGTTTTTTTTTTTTCCTTTACGATTAGGGTCATGATGTTCGTTATCAATGACTTGTGTTTGTACTTTTGATATAACAGTTCGATAGATAATGTTTTAGTTTTTTCTTTATAAAGGAAACCATTGTCTTTGTGAATATTGACACCTTGCTTCAAGTACCCAACAATGTTTTATGTTGTATTCAAAATAATATGCACTTGTGAAACTATTTTTGCAGCTTGATCGGTAATAGAGGCATACATTTTCGTTTTTTTATAAAAGAAACAACAGCCTTTGTGAATATCGGCACCCTGTTTCAACTGCCTAACAATGTTTTATGTTATATTCCAAATAATCTGTTAATCTGTGCCATTGTTTAGTCTCAGCTGCTACGAAAATATTTCAAAGAAAAAAACGGGGTACGTTTTCTGGATTGCAATATTATAGCCCGCATTTGCTTCCTCTGCCCGTTTTGGCATATTTTTTATGGCTCGTCCCGCCCTCCCTCATAAGTGCAGCACCACCCACCAAAACCAACTGCCACACAAAAGAAAATAATCAAAGCTAACGCCTATTTAACGAAAATATGCTGCCAAAGCCAATGCTAAGATCTGAGCTGATCTGTTATTTATAATTAGATTATGACATTAATAAGTCGCTTTAACAAATGTTCAATTTCTAACATTGGCAGCGTACTCAAGGGCGGCAACAAACGCCCTCACCCGGACCCGGACTCGCACCCGCACCCTTCCTCACAGCTCCCTTGCCATTATGGGTATTGGAAACAGTTGCGAAAATTGAATTTCTGCTGCGTTTAATATATCAATGAAAGGCATTTTCACGACACTTAAGTGCGCGCATAAATCAAGTGCAATTGCCGGCAAACCTAGGGGGCAACCCTTGAGGCAGTCTCTCATCTTACCTTGCTACCCTGGCGAAAACCACGTAATTTCATTAAAGAGAAAGCTTTTGTGCAACGCTCAGAAATGCTTTCTTTTTTGCGTTGATTGTCAAATTGTTTGGCATCGACAATGGCTCACAAATTTCTTTCGTTTTGCATCATTTTTCGGGCATTTGGTAAATATTGCCAGCTGTTCACTTCCCCGAAATCTTCTCAGCCACCAAAGACCCAAAGTGCTCTTAATGTTTGTCAATTATTTGCAGTAATTTGCAATATTTCTAAATGCTATGCCCGGATTTTCGACGGATCAACCCTGTTCTAAATTGTTTTTAATGGCCATTTGCACTTACGCATACACACATATAAATACATATATATTGTACATAACTGTTGACTGCAATTTCAGGGACGTCGACACCCCCACAACATTCCTAATGGCTTCATCATCTAGAACAATAAATTGCCTACACGGCCACTCTGAACTTGCTGTTGTTTGTTGTGTTTCTAGATGTCGTCGTTGTTGTTATTGTTGTTTGCTTTGCTTAATTTATAGCCCTTGCTTAAACGAAAATAAATGCTATTTGTTTTCTTTTAAAAATCGACACAGACATGCAACAAATAGCCAGACAGCCAGTTGGATAGACTTGTTGTAACTAAAAACCAGGAACTGAGCCGAAACATTGCAGACGATTTTCGTCGTTGATTTTTCCCACAACAGAGTGCCCCAAAGTCGTGGCCACTCATACATTATGGCGCATTATAAACTCGCCGGGGGTGCTGAAAGTGTTAAAAACGTAGTTAAATGGTTCTGTCTTTTACAACAATTTGTTTAGCGAACATAGTCAAAAAAACAAGAACGCAATGTGCACGCATAATTCAAAACCCAAACTCAAAATCGACTTCAATTCATTGCCATGTGGCAGCGATGGCGGCTCCGATTCATAAAAAATAGCCTGCGGTGTCTTTGTACAAGCAACGAAAAACGCCACAATTTTTGTTTCTCATTATACCCTGCAGTCAAAGAGTGCTTCGAATTGTTCACAATTCCAGCTCCAGCCTTGAAAATAACATACGTTACATTTTATTGTATTTGTACTAAAATGTGTTAATAATTTGAAATGAATAACAAATATAAACTATGAAAATATCTTCTCTACAATTTTGTTGACGACACTACCATCAATATGGGGATTAGGAACACAAAATATTATAGGTAAGGGTCTTGAAAAATTACAATAAATATAACTTTACTTCAATATAACATTAAAATATCATTATTATGCCTATTGGGTAACAAAT